GAGAAACATAGTGATAAAATTGTTACTATGTTACTTGAATATATAGACATTTAATTAAAACATGTTTTCTGTTATGCAATTTATTTTTGCTTCAATTTGCCACATTTCAACATATTCATAAATTTAACTAACATGCCTTTTGTTTATTGTGTGTGTAATTTCCGCTAATAACAGTAACATTGAAACTTAATATCCATGAATTATTTATTTTTTATATATGTTGCTCTCACTTTTTTTTCTTTTTCCTTTTAACCTATTTTAACAATTATTTATTACTCTCTCTGCTTTTTAACATAACATGTTTTGACTCCACGCTCGAATTTTTGATTCAGTGTGATGATCAACTAATCAATGGTTGGTGGTGTTTCAAGGTGATCTCTCGTATTTCGCCGGTGGTCTCTACATTGTCGCTGGTGGTCTCTACGTTGTTGTCGGTGATCTCTAGATCGAACATGATTTATAACGAGGTTTGCATCCTCACTATAACCACCTTGTTATGGAAAGAACCACCATGGAAACCATCATGGAGGAAACAACAATTGGGAATAGAAAGTACATTCTTTTTGTTGTATGACAATATTCGTATAATCGTTGAAAATTGGCAGTTCGAGTATTTATTTCTTTCGAAAGAATTAGTAGATTGGGTTCTTAATTAAAGAATATTTGTAGATCTAACCCTGAAGTTGGCCAATGTAATACAACAAGGAGAATTAGTGTTTGGTAGTTTCACCGATTGGGTGATAGTCGAAGACGAATATCGCATCATATCGAATGCGAATTTATGGGAAGAAAACAACAGAGTTGATATTCTGCTAGCGAATAAGACTTTTTGGAGAAAAGCGTCGCTAAAATTCATTTCTTTTGTTTTTAATTATGTAATTGGTTATATTTTTCTTATTTTCTGGATGTATTTTGTACTCTTGATTTTTATATAAATAAAAATATAGATGTTAAAAAAAAGATGTTTTGACTTAAAACATAAAGTTTAAGAAAAAAACTTTTCTTTCAAATAGAATTATTTAATATATAAATTTCAAATAATTTAACTAATTAAGAAAAATACTGCTTGATATTATTGGTTACATAGTTTTCAATAAAGGTAAACTACATAAAAATCTAAAAACATCTTATATTATATAAAAAAAATTTCTAAAACATCTTATATTAAAAACGAAGGAAAAATATCACTCCACGTAATCGACAATAACCCACTCATCTTTGAATTTTTTTTGTTTGGTCATTTTATAAAATAATCACAAAAGATAAAAATAATAAAAGGCTCCGGATTTCAAAGTTTTAAGTAGCATACACAATAAAAGACCAAATGCTATTGGCCAATACCCAGCCAATCACTTCACTTTTGGCAAAAAGACTAGATCCTTTTTTCTACAAATGAAGAATTTTTAGTTTTATTTTTTTATGTATACCCATTATGTGATATTTAAAATAGTACTCCATATGCCAACTTGCCAAGGTCGTTTATGCATGTCCCTCGCATGCTCTTTCAAGTTTCAAATATTCAACACAAATCTAAAGAAAAAACGAATGTTTCAAAACTTCTTACATTCAATTAATTCGTTGTCCACATAT